TGTCCAAGAGCATTTCGACCCGCTTGTCAGGGACAGCAGGGCGAATTCAGGAGATGAAGTTATAATAGAGATATATCTCAAAATATCTCCTAACTCACTGGCATGGCTACAAGCTTATCTCTCATGCAGGAAACAATGCACTATCATCGATGGCGCATCATCGTCACATGTAGACGTCATTACAGGAGTGCCACAAGGCTCCGTTCTGGGGCAGCTTCTCTTTTCGATTTATATCAATGATCTTGCCGAATGCGTGGCCAGTCAAGTGAGGTTGTACGTGGATGACTGCTGCATATATCGTGAAAGAAGGTGCACTAAAGATGCACAGTACGTGGAAAATGCAGCTTAATGTGTCGAATTGCTGTGTCGTTAAGTTTACCAAGAAAAAGCAGCCTTTTATCACAAATTACTTCATGGAAAGGATACCATTAACCATTGTAAATGAATACAAGTATATTGGCGTTGTCATCAACAGCACACTCGTGGAATGATCGTGTTTGCATGGTATCAGTTAAACCCAGTCGCGTGCTGAACTTCCTACGCCGCAATTTCAGAACCGCCCCCTCTGTTCTTAAACAAATTCTTTGTGTCAAATGTACGTACAATTTTGAAATATGCTTTCACTGCCTGGGACCCGGCCACAAAGTTAAATATTGATGCATTGGAGCGCATTCAGAAACGTGCCGCCCGGTTTGTGACGGGTGATTACGACTTCACCAGAAGGTCTAGCGAAATCGTTAGTTTACTTGGTTGGTCGTTACTCTCCTCAAGGCGTAAATATATCAGGCTATGTCTTTTCTACAACCCAATAAACGACAAAACAGGGATTAATAAAAACAAATACATCAGACCACCAACATACATCTCATCATGACGGGACCATTCTTTGAAACTGTGTGAATATATGTGCCGAACATCAACGTATGCAAATACTTTTTTCCCAACACTACACACCAATGGAACAGTCTTCCAAAAAACATTGTGACCGCCCCTTCCACAGCGTTTCCTTCCCTTTTAAAGGAGTATGTGGTCACGCAATGATTTTGTATGCTTTGATATAGGTGTTGTCGATTTGTTTTTATTTTTTGTGTGCCGTGCGATTGAACTTGTTTCCACTGATTTCAATGTACTTTGAATTTGTAAACACCCTACAACAATGCCACCGAGGGTGCTGTAGGTATAAGTATAAATAAATAAACAGAGATGGGTGAGGAAGTCGCGCAGGATAGAGTAGTTGTGGACAGCTCCCAGGTAGTTGAGCTTAGTTAACGTGAGTGTGTCGCCACGGTATATCCTGCTGCGGTGTCCAAGGGGATTTCGACCCGCTAACCAGGAACACCGGGGTGAACACCGGGATGAACACCAAGGTGAACACCGGGGGGAACACCGGGGTGAACACCGGAGTGAACACCGGGGTGAAGATAGTTGGAAGTACAATGCAGTTGTAGGCAGCTCCCTGGAATGCGAGCTAATTTCGTCGGAAGAAAACAGCTGCAGTGTTACAACATGCGTTATGCTGTCTGTCAGTTGGGAGAGTGAGAAAGAAGATGATTTCTGCACAATTCATTGAGACTGTGCGAGAGAGTCATCTAACAAAATGAGCCAAAGTACTGGGGAGAAAGAGAGGCGAATGGAACTCTCAGAAATTGGCCCTATGAAGAGGCGTAGATGGAAGCGGCGTGGTAAAGGCAGGAGTGCGAAAAAGAGCACAACCCCTTTGAAGAAAGCCGGTAAACGATTCAGCGTAGTTAGCCGAACAAGGCATTTTTCATCCGCTCCTAAGTTGGGTTGTATGCGTCCGAGCCGCCGGACGAGGAGAAAAGGAAGGGTGCGCCGAGTGGAAAAGCAGACAAAAGGAACGGGATGGTCGGCCTGCCATCATCCCGTCCACACATTTGATGGGACATGGAAGCGCAAAGTCATTGGCTCGCTAGAAGTAACTGAGCGAGAGGAAGAACGCTGATCGACCGTAAAAGCTCGGCGGAGTTCGTGGGCGAAGCGAATGGGTTTTGTTATTGTCCCATTCTCCGTTAGCAAAGAAGGGCCCATATTGCGCGACTGCCACGTGTTCAACTCAAAATTGAGTGACAGCGGTGAGTGTTTGGAAAAGCGAGTTAGCGAATTTGTTTGTTTTGTTTTGAAGCTTTGTGTGGTTTTGGTTAGTTTTGGGTATGTAGCAGTTCAAGTATCTCTACTACTAAACAGCGTTTAAGTAACTGATTTTGTTTTGTTTATTTCTGAAGCTTTGTATGTTTCAGTTTTAAAGGTTACGTGCTGCGTGGTTGCAAAACGACACGCCAAGGAGCGTTTGTCGAGTAAGCGTGACGTTAGAACGGAGTATGAGTGAGCGTTTGAGACGCAAGGATATTTCTTGTAAGTTTTTCAGGGTTCATACAAAAGTTTTTTTTGTTATTTCTTTGTTTTGTTCGAATGTGTCCAGTGTAAACGTAAAGAAAGTGAGTTCGGTAATTCGGGAGCTAATGTGTAGCTTTTATGAAGATGGTGACCGGAAGGCAGATTTAGTAGTAAATCCACGCAGGAGCACTCTTACGTGTGATTGGGGACGTGCAATGACGGTGTTCTGATGCGGGTACAGCACGACAGTTATTCTTTCGTCTGCTCAGAGGAAATAGACGACTAGCTTTGGCGGCAAAAAATTTTGGGGGACTAAAAGACAACGCGACGCAAAAGGCTTTATTTTAGTAGTTTGAGGCCTGGTAGGTTACAGCGGATTACTAACGCTGGCACACGAGTATGTCACGGAGAGCGCATAAACTGACAGTAAACTTCCTTGAAAGCAGTTTATTAGGAAGCTAATCCCCATGTTGGAATTGGAAGTTTCAAAAAGAGTTTAGAGAAAATCTTCGATTGCTGCTATGTGCTTTGGCTATACAGTTTAGAGAAGGTTGTTTTAACATCATTTCTTGGACTAGATGTGTCTCAGTGTGGACAGGGCGCTGTCGCGTTCCTGTGGTTGTGTGTATTTCTGTGTAATTCCCAGGAAGGAAAGGTCCATGGATGATTGAAGATTGCCGTATTTTGTCATCGGCAGTGGCCTGGATGACGCCAACAACGGCACTTCGGGCAACCTGTATGGCTGGTCCACCTCAGGTCGCGAGTTTCCCTCCGGTGGACGAGCTGCTACGTTTGGCGGGCCACCCTTTTGCCGCGGCCGCCAGAACAGAAGGTAGCCGCCTCATTTTGTGGTGATAAGGTGCAGCGCCAAGACGCCCTGCTGTTTCTATGTGCTGGGCGCTGCGTGGCTGAAATCACTCCACAGAGAACCGCTGTCCTTCGGGTCCACGCAGACATACGACACGTGGCGTCTTCGTGCCACGGTAAAAGCCACAATGCCGAGCTTCCGCCGATTACAGACATCGGACTATCACGCTGTGCTTCTCTGACTTATTTGCCGCCGACGCTCAAAACAGCACCAGATGTCCACACATGGCCCCTCGGAGGCGTGGGGCAGCTTGGACTAGTCGTTATAGCATGAGGATAGTTATAGCGCGAGAACAAAACAATGACACAGAGACAATGAGGACACGACACGACATAGCGCTCGTCTCTTTCGTGTCCTTCTTGTCTCTATGTCGTCGTTTTGTTCTCGCGCTATAACTATCGTCATGCCCTCGGAGGCGCCTAGACTGCGACTGCCATTCGACAAAGCATGGGTGGTCGGCCCGAGCGGCCAGATGACACACTCGTTTCAGCCCGCTCAAGCGAGATTCGCCGAAGAAGACAGCATTGCCGGGACCATACACGTGTTTGTGTATTTGTGTATGTGTATGTTGGGGGTGGCGCTAGCATAATGACACTCGTGGGTGCAGCGGGACATGTTATTGGACAGCGTCGCACGGACCTATTGCCCGATCTAGGGATCTGGGGAGATGAGACTCTATTTAATCAGCTCTCGCGGGCTGCTTAGGGTGGTTCATGGAGCTTGTTCAAGAGACAGCCTTTTTAAATGTATACAGAGCTCTCAATGTAGGGCTTCGGGCTAGAGAGCCCGTGCGTGTAAATATAGTAAATAAACCCTCTACGAAGTTCAACCTTCTTCTGCCTCGACATCTCGATCCCGGATCTCCTGTGCCGCAAACTCCAGTCGCAGCAGGACCCAGCGCGAAACTAGGCCCATAATCCGGCATGGCGATAGATGCTGGTACGCAGTGTCACTGAGTTTTACAATGGCGAAGGTTGGAATGAGAGACGTGTAATGTTTCTATTGGTTTCTTATTTAAGCAATCGCTATTTGCGCCTGTAAAACTAAAATTGAGATTATAACAATGATGCATGGCGGAATGGTTAACACTCTGTCTTTTACGACCTTTTACATTTGGTGTAAATTAGTGAGCATGAAAAAAGGAGAAAACGAACAGCCCCCGATACACACCAGTGATCTTGCACAAAATACCAAAACATTGCCTAACATCAAGGACTCATGCAAGGCAGTCTTTGTATGTATCTGTCCAATACAAAATGCTTTAATTTTACATAAAGAGTGGCAGTCACATACAAATAAAAGCAAAACGTGGTAAGGTAAACAAAATAACAAGTTGCACGGGCTGTAGCAAAGCGATTTTTACTAATTTACTGAGAGGGCAACTTACCAGTAACCCAGCAGCAATTGCACCACATAAATAATTATGTTCTAAATAGTAGGTTTGAGTCGGTGACATGATTTTATTTTTTATGCCTCACTGAACTTTTTTTATATTCTTGGCTCGGCTAAATCTCGGCCATCAGAAAAAATAAGTAAAGTTTCATAGCAACGTTTGGCTTGACTATATTTTGAAGAATGTGTTGTGCATGTTGATGAGGTGTTCTGGGTCACTGACATGTGAGCGAAGACAAAAAAAAAAAACGCGCGGCTCATTTTTTTCTAAAGCTTGTCTACTTACTGTTGTCTTTTGTGTTCAAAAAGCGCACTAATGCTTGGAGCACACAACAGTGGGCAAATCCAGAATTCTTTGGATCATGTCGATCTTCTTGACACATACTTAACTCAAGTACACATCTGCATTCTGTTTTTTTTATTTCACTGCCATACAAATGAACTCACTGTAGCTGGGAATGGCGTCCTCCAGCATAATAGCTATCACCGCGAAGATGTCCAGCTGAGTTTTTCTCTGTTCTGGTTGACGATGTTCTTGAACTGTTCTTCTGTTTCCTGCGAATGACCATGTACTTGAAACCATTCTGCAGTAGCCTAGTGTTTGCTGAATTACAAGAAGTGAGCAGTTTCTTTGCAAAACTGACATGTTGCAACACTTTTGAAATGCCGAATAGCGAGTGTGCAAGATTTTTAACGGCTGACGTAAAAGTGAATGGCAAACACTTTTTGAAAGTACAAATGCAGCATAGATAAAAGAAAGTGAGCATAAAAGCAAACATGGATATTAATGCGAACTGAGAGTTGTTTACGTATGAAACAAATTTCAATGTGTATGTGAACGTTTGCCTGTCTTTGTGCCTTCTTTTCTCCTTTACTGGCTCAGAAAAAAGCTTTAAAAACTAATACGCTCTCTCGTGCATATGGATAAGCAGGCCTTAAGGCGGAAACCATCTCCTTAGTTTTTTTATTGCGATAGGAACTATATGAACAATCTCGGCTGAATTTCCCCGCCGGCGTTGGCATCATGCACCTTATACGTATACGTATTTACATATATGAAAACACAAGAAAAAAAAATACAGAAAGAAGACTCTGGTGTACAGAATCAAACGTGGTGCCTCCGCGTCGTGAATGCGAGGCGTTAAGCACTGAGCTACCGAGAGCTACTTCCTTCACCGTTCAAACGGCGAGCTATTTATATCTACCACTCACCGATGTTGGCGGGCATCTTGAGGGGGGGGGGAGCTATCGTATTTTCAGCATTATCAGCAAGATGGCGCATTGAGCGCGTGCAGCTCGCATCTCTCACGCTTACTCTGGCGCACGGAGGGGAGGGTAGTAGACGATTATCTCACGCTCTTTTATCTCCCGGTGGGGAGCATCATACTTCTTGGCTGGTGTTGGGCTTGCACTGGAATGATTCTGTTGCAGTAGGGCACAGTCTCCGTTCATGAAAAAAGGCACGCTTTTCAAACACAGTGAAGTAACAACTCACAAGCTTATTCGCGTTCATCTTTACCTGTGAGTGCGTTTCGTGCGTGATTTGTGCGTGAGAAACGTGGAGCACCTTCTAATCTGCTTGCCATTCTGCACGTGACCTTCCAATTTGTTGCTATCGAGTTCATTGATTCGCCTTTGCAGCAAAGGTATGACGTTTTTTTTTCTAAGGCGGTGTATTGATACTGCCCCCACACCTCTGAAAGCGTTCTGCACCTAACGTGCTTTTTTATGAATAGTTCCAAACCACGTTAATCAAAAAACACCAAACAGTGTTCTTGTAGGTGTGATCAGCATACATGACTTAAGCGATCATTCATGTCATTAGGTCAGAATGTGTCATTTGCGCTACGTAATGGCACAATGACGGCATGACGACAGAATCTTGGCGTGACCATCTTTTGCCTTGTTTGACGCTATGGGGACACCACATGATGAGGTCTCCACGTGATGTTAATTTTTTGGCATCACTCTTGTAGACACGACGCCGCGATAATACGGTCGACGCCATCCTTCAGTTTCCACCCTGAATGACGCCTCACAATTATGCAGCGTGATATATTTGTATTGCCGTAGCAAGGGACTTACATGTTCAAGCTTGTTCACAAAGTGTCGCAGCACTCTTTTACCGGCCGCACTGCAGCCTCTTGCAAAAATATGGCGCGCGGATCGCTGCAGTTCGTTGTGGTGTGGTTCTAGCTGCTCCTCACTGAGGCCAGGAGTGGACTCGTTGCACACCTGCACACAAACCGACAGCATTCGTGCGCTATTCACAAAAAGCTTTCATGACTTTAAACTGACACACGTTAGTAATATGGATACATATACGAACAATCGCCGCTTTGTCTCGATGTTCTTAGCTTCGGTCTTAAAGCACCATACGATCGCATTTATCTCTCTGCACTAGCCTGTTCGAGAAGTTTTCCAACTGCTCAATGGTTTTGCCTAAAGGCTGGCGCTATGTAAGCACTGGCTAGGTAGTTAGTATTGTACTAAATTGTTATCGCGTTAAGCTGTATACCAAACAGCTTAGACAGAAGAGAACATGCAAGAGAGATAGATATCATTGTTTTATTCAGACATACTTTCAGCCGCATTCAGACTATAACGGGGGTGAAAAAAAACAAACATACATACACAAACATGAAGCACACACTATGGAAACAACAAAATATAATGGTCATGGCCCTTACAAAAATGTTTATTGACATTGATTTGGCGCACAATAGAATTGTGCATCGTTAAATACTACGTCGCTTAGGTTTCTCAAGAAGCGAGATACACCTGCACATAAGATTATAGAATTTGGCATCTTATTACACTCACTAATCGCCTGTGGGAAAAAGCTGAACTACAAACAATCGTTGTGTGGTCTTGGGAGGAAGATTGTACACGGTATGCCAATGTCTTGAGGTTTTCTCAGTTTTTATATTTATATTTCTTGATTTGTGAATTTTTACTTGTTCTTTATTCATTAAGAAGAGTAATTTAAGCTTTCCGTGCTCTGTCCTTTGTTTTGGTGGTTGAAGGTGTGCTTTTTTACAAAGCTGTGGTGGGTAGTTCTAATGCTGGTATTTACTAACTATAAAACGTGACGCCAGCATTTGTAATCTATCTAGCTTGCTGCAATTATGTTTCTATACGGATCCCATACCACCTTTGCGTACTTTACAGTTGACCGCACAAGTGTCTTGTAAGTTAAACATTTAACTTTTGGACTAGAGTGGCACAGATTTCTTCGAAGCCTTCACATCACTTTGTTGGCCTTAGCAATGACGGAGTCGGTGTGCAAGTTCAACTGTAGATTGAAGCTTATGAATTATCCCAAATATTTGTGCTTATGAACACTGCTAAGCTCAAGATCGTTTATGAAGTACGTCCTATTTAGAATGCGTTTTTGTTTGCTAGTAACACTCACGGCTACTGTTTTTGTGGCATTTAGATTCATCTGCCAAATTTCGCACCATTTTTGTATTTTCGGAGGTTTAGATTCAATTCTGATTGAAGTGAAGGAGTTTTTGCTGCTTTATACAATACACAGTCATGTGCGCAAAGCCTTATTGGAACCATACTATGCTTGGGTAATTCATTAATAAAACTCAAGGACAATAGTGGGCTAAGTACGCTATCATGGGGAACTTCAGGAGTTGCAGTAACAAGGGCAGATGTTTATGTTAAGCTGAACGTGCTGTTTATGATGGAAGAAATAGGATTAAAACCATTGCGTTAAGCCAGGGTTTTTATACGATTGCGTTTATTTTTACCAATAGTTTAGCGTTTGACACCTTGTCGAAGGCTTTCGCGAAATCCAAAAATATTATGTCAACCTGACCTTGCGAGTTGATTTCAGAGGAGAGATGGTGAACGAGTTCCACGAATTTTGTAATAATAGATAGCTTTTTTCAGAATTCATCTGGTTGTGGGTATGTTTTGTTGTGAACATCTAGATATTCTAAGAGACGTTTGTAGATAATGTGCTCGAGAATCTTCGAACATGTACTTGTGAGTGAGATGGGGCGAAAGTTTTTGCAGTCATTTGTATTATCGCCTTGTCGTATTTGTGTATCGGTATTATCTTGTCGACTTTCCAGGCAGTGGGAAAGCAACCACTAGCTAATGAAGACTAGAAAATAGTTGTCAAGTACGTATAATCCAAAACTGCGTACCTATATAGAAATTCACTTGGCATTCCGTCGACCCCTGCCCTTTTGTTTTTGTCAATGTTAAAGAACTGGTTCAACACACCTTGTTTGCTAATCATTATTTCTTTTATTACAGGTGTGTCAGGAGACACATAGAAAGATCGCACTCTTCTATCACTGGGAGTGCATACTGACGAAAAAATGCATTAAAACTTTTGGCACTTGCCAGGAGGTTTTTTTTTGTCTGCATCGAAGAGGGCTTGCACGTTCGGATTTATGTGTCTTCAGAACTTTTGTGGTGCTTTGCACAAAAAGTTTTCTAGCTTACCGTTATAAAAATTATCCTTAGGATTTTCAACTTGTGAATGATTGTCTTGTGAATAATTCATCTCGTGAGTGATTGCCTTCTCCTCAGGCCAAGGTTGCTTTGAGTGAGCTTTCCGTTTACGTTTGTTGCCTTTCGGCGTGAATCACTTCACACGTTATCCAAGGATTTTGCTCAGCTACAACTTTTGTCGTGTTAGAACAAACATTTGAAAGCATTCATTACCACTCGCGAGAAATAATGCCATAGTGCATATGTACTTGCTTTTGAATTTTGCAAGACAAAAAACAAAGCTATCAAAAGAGTTTTCAAGCTTTTCTAAAACAGAAAAGTCATCAGCAGCCGCAAAACTTCGAACTGTATTTTTGTAATCACCATGCAACTTCGCGAATGTCATGTCTAGGCAAGACATAACCACCTTACGATGCGATATTCTCTCAATTACACTATAGGTTGCAACAATTTTTTTCCAGAATCGATGAAACAAAACCAAGGTCGAGAATAGCGAATGCATTCTTAAATACACCTGTGTATTTAGACAAAATTTCGCATATATTCCAACAAAAGTCAAGATGAAAAAGATGCCCACAATGTGCTACACCTGTTTCTGTGACTTCGTTTGCATGCCATTGTGTACCAGACAAGTTGAAATTACCAAGCAAAATTATTTTCTCATCCTGGTGCATATTAAAATCTATAAAATGTCTTAAGTCAACCAGAGCCTTGGCGAGAGACAGCGGTCTATACATAAGTCCAGTGTACAAGGCGCAATGATATATTCAAATGTTACCCATACAGCTTCAATATCACCAGGATCTGGTGAAATTTCGTATTCTATGTCTCTTTTATTCATAAGTGCTACCCCACCTCCTCTACCACTTCGATGTTTCCTTACTAATGCGTAACCTGGCGGTGTAACTTTCGCATCAAGTACATTACTGTGCAACCATATCTCGGTGGCTGCCATTATGTCAGGGTTATGTTCCAAGGTCAAAGTGTCAATTAAACGCCATTTAATCAACACACTTCAAGCATTGAAGTTTATGACCTCAGAGTCAGCTGGTTTGAGGCAGTCTGGTCATCGCAGGCTAGGTTTAGCAGATGCTTGGCACCTGACCCTTTTTTCAGAATTTTCATTCCAGCTGTACAGAACATTGTTGACAAGCACTTTGTCATACATCAGTTAAACTTTCAATCATTTCTTTCTTTCTTCTACACTTTAAACCAACAGGTTTCTCTGTATCTGAGTAATAAGTTTTGAATAATCTTCACTAATTATTATGTGGGTGCCCTTTAGCTTGAAGCAATTTTTCAGTATCTTTTCTTTGGCTGAGTAGTCTGAAATTTTAAGAATTACAGGGTGGTATTTGCCAGGCAGTTTTTTTCCAAACCTATGTATTCATTCTATAAAGAATGAACCCAAATATATCATCACTTATCTTATTCAGTAAGTCATCATTACTTTCAGGTCGTCACTCCTTTTTACGTCTCTGATGACAAGGCTGTTTCGTCTCGAGTGATTTTCTGGGTCATCAACCTGTCCACATAGGGCACTCAGTTTAGTATCGCTCCTGTCTATTGTATACTAAACCTTTCAAAGTTGGCATCTACACTTTCCATGCAATCTAAATATTTTTTAATGGTTATTATTCTGTTCTGCTCTTGATTCATAGTAGCCTCAGATGATGTCTCTTGCTCTTCCATTTGAAAAATTTTAGACAAGCTGGTTTTTAGCGTTTCTAGTAGTTTCTTAAGCATGGAGTCCATGGTAGATTCAGGGTTTTCCCCAACATCTCCTGGGAGTGGAATCAGCAGACCCGCTAGCGCTAAACAATCACTTGTGCAGTTCAAATTAGTGTGTGGACACGGCAACACATCCCCGAACTGATCATCCGAACGATAACTTCACTTCTAGTCCTCAACCTGCACAAGTTAGGGTATATCAGGTGACATTACCGTGGCTTGGTTGCCGTGTCCGCTGCCACTCAAAGCAAAAGGTGTCCCTTTTATAGCTGCTGGCGTGGCACTGGCAGCGTAGATTGATGACGCCATCATTCCACTGGCGCTGGCAGCGTAGAGTGATGACGCCATCATTTCACGAGGATGTGTAGAATAGGAGTGGCGGTTTTACTGCAGATACGGGGATACGGGCATACCGAAGATTTCACCAGCATTGACGCCAGCATCGATATGTGGGGTTAAACGACCAAAATCACCATTATATTATGTGAGATGCTGCAGAGGATAACTCCGGAAATTTCGACCGCATGGGGTACTTTAACGTGCACCCAAATCTCAGTCCACGGGCCTGCAGTATTTTTGACTCCATCGAAAATGCAGCCACCGCAGGTGGGCCTCATCCGGCAAACCTTAGCACTTTAGCCACTAGACCAACGCGGCGGGGTAGGGAGAGAGGTAAATAAACGTTTATTTCGAAACAATGGTCCAAGCGATGCCCGGCATCGTCCTAAGGTGGGATGGTTGCACAACCGTGGTTACAGGTTGCACAACCGATGCTTGTGCAGCCTATGACCACGGTTGTACAAGTGGTGTTTTCAGCAACTGCCGAAAGAGCTGCGCTTGTTGAAGCTGTGGTCATAGCTTGCAGAACGTTCACTTTTTATGTTATCCCCTTGGTGGCATTTTGATCACGTAGAAAAACTCATTCGCATGTCACAGGGCATTGTTTTAAGGAACCTCTGGTTGTTGTCAGGTTTTTGTTGATGTGTCACAACTCAAACAAAAGCCTCCTTGCTTCCAGGGTTCATTCG